GTGATGTAAGCATATTCATGTTTTTATTATAGTTTAAATGATCATCATCATTATTATTATTAATAAATAAATAAATAATAATATTAATAGTAAATTTTTAAATAATTTATTTAAATTTAATTTAATTTGTGTATTTAGTTAATTTTAATTATGTATTTTATTATTTTATGATCTTGTATACATTATGTATTTTTTATTTTATAGTTCAGAATACTATTTATTTGTTTATTAAATGTAATTGTTTATGCATTTTTTTATTTTATTTCCATATATCTATTAAGCTTTTCAGTGCTGTAAACATATTAATATTTTGTTTCATAGTTCAAATTCTTCTTTTAATCTCCTATTTAATCGTTTATTTTAATTTTATTTAATTATTTATATTTTTTTAATTATGAAATGTATCTATTTATTTATTATTTATTTATTTCCATGACTATTAAGCTTTTCAGTGCTGTGAGCATATTTTTGTTTTATAGTTCAGAATATTATTTATTTATTCATTCATTCATTCTCATGGCAATTATTTTATAATATTTTGTATTTAATTATTTAGATTTTATTTCTGTGACAAGTTTTCCAGTGTTGTAAACATATTTTTGTTTTATAGTTCAATATATTATTATGTAAATGTATTTATTTTTTGTTGTTTTATAGTTCAGAATATTTACTTATTCATGTATGCTTTTCAGTGCTGCAAGCGTTTGTTTTAAAGTTCATAATGTGCCTTTTTTCATCTTTCTAGTATTAATGCACTCTTTGAATGTCTGTCTGAGCATCAGCAGCTTCATACAGCAAATCCGTGATTGACACTTCCAGTATAAACCGCAGTCGCCTCTGAATGCGTGACTCATGAACATGTCTGCAGTGTGTTTGTGTGATCTCCTGTGAGATGATCCGCTCCGGATGGGCTCAGACGTGTCCAGCATTAGTCATTCATCCACAGGCTCAGTGTGGCTCATGATCTGCTTCCCATCTCTCCAGCAGCTGCTGTCTGATACATCTCCAAACGTCAGTGTATTAGTTAGAGGATGGTTAATTCTCTAGGTTATTCTGAATTTATGCAAGCGTATCCCATGATGCCAAGCTTCTCGGTTGTGGCCTCTGATGCAAACGCATTATGAGACAGACATGACACGGGAGGATGTGCTGCCATGGTAACCACTAATTTCGTTGACGAATAATTTTCGTTAGCGACATTTTTTTTTCACCGACGACAACGAGACTATAATGAACTAAAACTGTTTTTGAATGACAAAAACTATGACGTAAATCTATTGACATTTTCGTCAACGAATAAAAACGAGACGAAAATGTTAGGGAGGGACGATTTGGGAAGAGATTCATTCAGAACGAATTTGCTGCGTTGTTAGGAGGTTAGATGCGTACATATGAACCAGTGGGACATAAGCTAACATACACTTGCTGCACGTCACTTAAAACGTACAAAAATTTCAATATGTGGGAGTAAGAGAAGAGCAGACATATGGATAAATCTGACGACGCAAGAGAACTAAACTCGGTCTCCGGTTTTCTGAGCGCAGACACTGAAGCAAATTGACCCTTATATGACTGGTTTTGTGGTCCAGGGTCACATATTTAGCCGACTAAAACTAGACTAAAACTAAAAACAATTCAGATGACTAAAATATGACTAAAACTAAATGGCATTTTAGTCAAAAGACTATGACTAAAACTAAATAAAAATTTGCTGTCAAAATTAACACTGGCACCTGGTCTCCGCAGCATCTGTCTATATCCAACGGCAGCATCCAGGTGGATGCATCCTTCATGCAAACGCTATGGAACGTCCATCCCACCTGTTCAGGGAGCAACGTGGAGGAAGGTCGGTGGCTCTTAGTGCTGTTTAAGTCACTCATAACTAGTACTAGTACTGATAGTGACATGATGAGCCTCTAACAGTTAGTATTAAAGTTTTGTGTGTGTATCGTCGTTTAAAACGTCATTTGATTTACCTGACTGCTCATCATGCTTTTTTTCTTTCGTCCTATAGGATACCTTCTTGGCGGTCATGTGATGCGTCTCTTTCACGGGCACGACGAGGTTCTGACGATCCCGGGATCTGATCAGAGTGAAGAAGAGCAGAGGTAGAAACCTTCATCTCGGCACTGAAATTTTAATATCAGTGAGATACTAATGTAGTTTTTATTAGAATTTTTTTTTATTTTCTGTTTTCATTTTAGTTAAAGTTTTAGTAATTTTGTTGTTGTTTTCTTTTTTTTTTCAGGTTCATTATTAGTGTTTATATATATATATATATATATATATATATATATATATATATATTTTTTG